TCCCATTCAATCTCAGGATGCAAATTGGTATCATTCATTTTCGCATCTACAAGTTCATCCAGATGATCGAAAGCGGATAAAACTTGTTTATCACGAAGAATTTTATCAGGCACAAACGACTTGATCGCATTGCCGATTTGAGTACCAATTTGATTAAATTGAGTAAACCAACTGTTTAAAATATATATTAGTATTGTATATACATATTTATTTTTATAGATTATATGAAACTACGTACTTTTCATCCTTTTTTTCGTCTTTATTTTGTTCAGACATGATTGTTATCAAGGATTGTTATATAACCTTTTGTGAAAAAAAGGTCATAAATTTAAAAAAAATAAAAAAAACAAATAATAAGATTATGGAAATTTTTGATGCATCCCGGAAAATTCGGAATTTTAACGTTATTTAAAGCATATATTATCAAAAATTTATATAATGCGTATGCCAAATTTACAACAGAATATTAAATATGTAAATTCAAAAAAAAAAACATGTTTACAAATTTTTAAATTTGAAGCATCATTTATTAAAGTAAATGAATCTATAAAATCATATAAATATGAAAAAATACCTTTAATCTCGTTGAAGCTTTCTTAATGACGAGAACTTTTTTTTTTATTTGAAGTGAAGGAAGTGTATTAAGGAAAAGTCTTGGATGGAAACTAATCTTAAAAAAGGATTGTACAGTAGTACGTGCGTACAATCTTATTTTAACATTGCATATTCATTTGTCCATTTTCGGGATATATAAAGCCAAGATATAATCAATTTAGGATATTCCATTCCCTAAAATTCATAGAACATATCGATATTTGGTATAAAATATCAATATATTTATTTTCATCATAGCCAGAAGCACGTTATTTGATTGTTTTAATTGTCCGAAATTTAGTTCAATTTGAGCATTAGGTAAAATTTGGCTAATATTTGATTGACAATTTACAATAAATAAAAAACTTATTCATTACGCGCGTGCTAACGGTATCAAAGGATCTGCCTTAAAAAAGTTCATATTAAATTCTGCAGATAAACTTTTGTCCTATGGATATTTTAATCCCAAATTAAAAAAAAAAAAAACTTTTACCAGGTCAAAAGAGACTGGAGTAAAATCTCCACCCAGAAAAATTATCTATCCCATTAAAATTTCACGTCACAAAAAATTCTTTGAAGTTAGTTTATGTTACTGTATTAGTGTTTATACGTATTATAAATGATTACTGATATACATATTGTAAAATTGCTCAATGGAAACATACAACGAACCGATTTTTGGTCGTGATACATTACACGAAATTTTGATTTAAAATTTCTTAACCATGTGATGAATAACGAGATTTGATTGGGCTTTCTCAATAGAGCGGTGCCGCTCACTTCACCGACAGTCATTTCACCGAAAGTTCATTTAGCCGACATCACATGGGTTTAGG